AGTTTTCAGTGCAGCTGCAATGGAGCAACCTGGAATGATCACAAAGTAGGAGCAATCAGACAACACTATAAAAGAACTACTGGAAAATTCAATAATTATTTACTCTACCCATCTAACAGACCAATTCCACTAAATCATGCCAAAGGTCCATCTTGTCCACAACACTGATTTTTACAGTGGCCAGGAGCAGCAGCCTAGGAAACAGCAAAATGGAAAAAAAAAAAAAAAAGCAAACATGTACCAGCTGTTCATCAGAACCCTCCTCTGACCGTCCACAATTCAGAGTTCAAACACTTCCTAAGCCACAGGTAGTGTCTTTTATCTCATTGATCAAATACACTCATGAAAATTCCCATTGCACCCCAATTTCCATAAAGAACAAGATAAATTAGTGCTTTGCGATTAATAAATCTGATTAGGAATGCAAGATCACAATGTGGTTTGGGTTAAATTTCAAAGCTGATGTCATGAAACATATTCAAACACCCAAATTTTTATTAGTTGCCAAAACACTCCCTTCAGTTGCAGCACGTCCAGGAAACCTGAGTTACAGAAAGGCTTCTTTCACAGAGACACCTGTGAGTGACTAAGGAATATAACTTTACATTTTAACTATGCCTAAAATACTATATTTGATCAGAATCACTGGTGGCCTTTAGCACAGTTTTACCAAAATATCTCTAGAAGTTTTACAGGCTATTCTGTGATTATTTACTACAGGGCTTAGAAACATTACACTCCTGTTAGATGGTGACTCAACAACCAAATAAAATAAAAAGATTGAAGCAGGATGTTATACAGTTGTACAGCTTTACAGGCAACTTTGTGAAAGTACTGAAGTGTTATTAGAACCTTTCATGTAAAGAAGTGAAAACCTAAAGTATTGATCAAGAGGTATTTAACTTAATTAGACTTCCTACAACAGGCTAGTGATCTAGCATGAGCAGGCCTATGAAATCTTCTGAACTTCAGTATAATGATTAAAAATCATAACATCAATTCCAGTAGCTGTCGCTTAAGCAATTTAAACCAGCAGTTGTTGGTGATTTATTTCTGGGCCAGTTCTGTGACTCCTCAGTGCAAGCTGCCCAAAGTGTAACATTTGCAAATTCAGATCAGTCACCCACGTTGCACTTTTCTCACTGCATGACAAGTACCTCTAAGAGCCAGGCACTGTTTCCTAGAGGCTGCAACAGAACTAGGATGACCTCACTTGCCAGTTCTGGCCTTCTTTCCCTGTTTTCATGGATGGCATCAGGCAAATCCCATCACCTCATTTTCCCCCATCTGGAGAGTGGTGAGAACACAACTTGTCCTAGGGAGCTATAATAAGAGAAATGCATAAATCGCTCAGTTAAAGGCTGAAATGAACATCCTGAATCACCAGTTGCCAACCTCACCTGCAACAGGTACCACAAGATAATGTTTTTTTATTAGTTTACAAAGCAGGAGCTCAGGTTTTCTGACCCAGAACTGAAACAGGAAGAGTTTGGAAATGCTTTCTTACATCTAGAAGAGAATATTTCAAGGTGCTTTGCCTTTTTATTTTGTTTGACTTAAACCTCACCTCATTCTCAGTTCTCCCACTCCTGTATTTATAGATAGTAATCAGCCTTACTAGACTGCACAAGTTAAACCTGTTTAGTGAAGCTTTTGGAGAGCACATCTAACACAGCTCCTTTCCCCACACCTAATCCAGGTTATGTTTAACCTCTCTACAAGAGTGGAGCTCAGATCCCACACAGCTCTTTATGAGGTATCAGCTGAGCTTTGGCCAACATTAGAGGGTAAAGATGACATTCCTCAAGAGCCCTGAGCTGAAATCTCCTTGAACATTTGACATTCCCCAGTTCAGAACATTTTCCTGTGCAGCCAACAGAACTATCCAAGAATCCTTACCCACGGATGATGTTTTAGAAAATTAAGTTTTTGGTAACAGGTGGGAGGCTGAGATCATTTGCTATTTTAAATATGTGGAAGGTGGACCAATATCAAATAATACTCAAATGTTATCTCAACTGGCTCTTCCTTCCCCAGCTGATGAAAATAAACTTTTCATCAGCACCTGGACTGTGGGTCCCTGGGGCACCCCGACAGAAAACAGGATAGAACACCAAAAGTTAACTTCTGGCCAAGACTAGGAGGTTTGCAGACTTCAGCAGGAAGCTGGAAACTAATGGCAAAAATATGTTTAATGGCTATTTCATTACCTCATTACCATCCATCCAAATGGACTTAATGACATGGAAAAATTATAGCAGATAAATACAACCCTATAACCAGGTTACAGTTTGCTTACTGCTCTGTTTTTGGAAGTTATTGCCTTTGCTTTGCTAGGCATGACTCAGTCTTCACTACAAATGTCTGTGTGGAGATACTTGGATGCACCAATCAGTCACACTATGGAAGAAACAGCAGACAAGGTGTTTATAACTCATCAAAATGGAATTGCAGAAGAAAAGGCATTTACTAGGACCTAGTAATTTATCTGTGCTAAAATTCAAAAGCTTTCAAAAATAATAAGTATGACAGAATTTTTTAAAAGAATCCTGGACAAGATGAACATAGATTTTGCTAACCATTTTTACACACGTCCTCTCTGACTAAAATAAAACAAGGACACTTCAGATGGTCACTCTTACCACACACAGGGATAGAAGGGCTGGCAAAATAAAGCAGGAAAACCAAGATCTTACTAAAATACCCTCAGAAAACTAATGAAATTTATATTTAGTACTGTTGGATACTGCAGAACAGTTGCTCTGTTAGAGCAAGCAGCTCACTGACAAGGTCATAAGAATAAAAAGTCTCTTACAAGAAACTAACAGTGTTTGAGTCTACCAACTTAGGAGTTTCAAAAGAGAACTGGATATGAAAAGCTGAAGCAGATGACCCTGGAATTTGAGAATTATCCTTTCTTTAAAAGTTGAAAGTATTCAAGAAGGCCAGTGTCAGGTGAGGAACAGGAGACATCTGAAACAAAAATCCAAAGAAAACAACGGCTTTATGAAGAGAATTGTTTTTCTTTCTGTAATAATGTCTGACTTGTAAGGACAGACCTTTTCATTAGCAGTAGCCCAGACAGGTTCAGCAAACAAACCCAGGTTTTCCTGGATGCCATCTCTCCCTTCAGTAACTGGAGCAGGCTGCTTCTGCAGCCAACTGATTTCAAAAGCAGCAGCCTCTGTGTGATCAAAAAGTGACAGAGTTCCAACACAGAAACTCTTTGGGAAGCAAACCAGTTCCCATTTAACAGAAGGTCAGGATTATGTACTCCAGTGCCCAGGGTTTATTTGCATTTTATTGGTAACATCCAATAACTGTTTTTATCAGTATAAGGAGATTTAAAAATACAGCATGAGCTGATAAAAGCTGCCTCCTATCATGCAGGTAGGTCCTGTTACAGGAAGAAAGCTGAGAGGGATGGGAGAAAGGGAAAATACGCTGGATGTGGATTCAGTTCAGGTGGTTACAAGGGCATGTAGCTAGCTAAGGATTTCCACTTCCCTGACAAGAGTGCTTTTCTTTGATGTAGACATCACTAGTTCTTGGAGATGCTCCTGCCCATCCCAAAAAGATGCTGGAGCCAAGAAGGAACTGTAAGTAACATCACTAACACAAAAAAAAAATCACAGAAAAGAAAGTAGATGAGTGTGTAATGTTTTTTTCCAGTTCAGCACTTCAAATCAGGTAGCTCCTAAGATGGGTACTTGGTATTCTGAGCATCTTGCTTGTGTTCCACCTCTCCTTTAGTCAGGCCAGCAGCTATTTGGGGTGAGGACACAAAGAAATTCCATCTGCACGAGCAAATGCACTGTGGTGCAGCAGAGCAACTCCCCACTGGCACCAGCTCAATGCAACCCTGATCCAGGCTTCCATGAGAACACAGCTCCAACACCACTTCCCATGGCATGGGAGAGCCTTCCCCACCCAGTGCTTTTGCTGCAGGGACTTAGATCACACTGCACCTACTTACAGAGAGAAATGTGAATTTTATGCAATCCAAAGACAGAGCCAAAGCAACACAAGCTTGGTGGGTCTCTGCAATACATACATGTCAATACCCCCCTCCCATGAAAATTAACATGACAACCAACAACTTGTTAAGGATGCACTCGCTACTATTAATTCTTCAGCTTGCTGGAGCAGGAATACTAAGAAAATCCCTACTAGTAAACATTACATATAAGGAAACACAGCTTGCTCGTCTTCTGTTCAACTGTTTAAATGAGCAGCAAACATTCTGGCTCACGCTGTGTTCCAGTGATAAAAGCACTCAATCTAAACCAAACTATCAACTAAGTTTGGGGCAGATAAAGTACAGCACGGGCAGGAGCCTCCTCTGCAGTGCAGTGTGGGGGTTCCCTGGCTCGGCTGTGGCACACAAGGGTCACAGCGAGATGGTTGGAACAGGCTGTTCGTCCTCGCATCGCGTGGACTTTGCTTTTTATCTAACAAATTGTTTGGATAAAGAGGAGCAACCAGGGAGGGCTGCCAGGGCTGCGCTGCAGCCTCTGCACCCAACAGCCAACTCTGGCTGTTCATTCACGGCTGGGGCTTTCCTCGAGCTACCGGAGAATACCCCCGTTCTCAGCACAGTTCCCCTCACGGAGGGGAGCGGGGCGCAGGGCTCTGGGCCCCGCGGGGCGGGAGGCCGGCGCCACAGGGCCGGGGCACGGTGCCCCCGCTGCCCTCACCCCTCCCGGCGCTCCCGCCCGGCTCCACCGCCCCGCCACACCGGCCCCTCACGCTGCCCCCGCTCCTTCCTTACACGGTGATGTGCCCGGCGCCCCGTACCGCTACGGGATCGGGCGCGTCGCGGGGCCGGGGCAGCTCCTGGCTCCGCACCACGGGCTCGGGCTCATCCTGCTCCTCCTCGTCCTCCTCCTCCAGCTCGTAGATCGTGTCGAAGTCCGCCATATTGGGCAGCAGGACGCTCATCGCCGGCCCTCCCGCCGCGCCTGCGCAGCGCGCGCCGGGGGCGGGGCCGGGGCGGCGGGCGGGCGGCGCGCAGGCGCAGCGCGGCTGTGGCGGCGCTGAGGGGAGCGGAGCGGGGCTGGGCGCGTCACCCCCTGAGTGAGCTCCCCGCAGGCGGTGGGCAGCGGCTTTGCGGCCGGTCTGGGTGGCCGGAGGCGGCCGCTCGGGTGCGGGTGCGCCCGCCAGCCCGCCCGGTAACGAGCCGGCACGAGGAGCCGCTGAGAGAGCAGTTAGTGTTGGTGGTCATAGCGGAGCCGGAATAACCTTATGGAACTCTTAACTTGTTTTCAGAGACTCCCTCTAAGCCCTCCGTGTACAAGAAGCGGAATATCTCCGCTACCGTTAGCGTTTATGACTCCCCCGGCCTCCCTTCCCTCCCCTCAGGTGCGCGAGCGGCTCCCGAGGGGAGTTTTAATTTGCTGCTTACAGGGGAGCCGGATTAAAATCCTCACTGGATTTTAATTTGCTTAAAAAAAAAAAAAATCACCCCGAACCTTCGGCGTACAAGGGACCTGAATACCTGAATATCTGTGCTGCATATACCGCATTTATAACTCCTCCGCGTGCCCCTTCCCGCCCCTCAGGTGCGCGAGCGGCTCCTGAGGGAAGGTGGGGACAGGGGCTGATCCTCCTTTATTTTAACATCTTTTCCAGGTGTGTTTCTGCCATGGTTTTAATAAAAAACAGCCAGGTAGCGCTTTTTCATCTTCCCCTCCTGTTTCTGCCGGCTGTGTCGCTCCCCGCGGTACCTGAAGTGAAGGAAAAGCGGTGGTTGTGGAGTTTTCTCAGAGTTTTGGGGTTTGTTGGTGGGTCTGGGAAGTGAGTTATGTACAGCGTAATAGGGTGTTGAGAGGGAAGAAAATTCACATAGAAACAGCAGAACTTGGGAAAAAATATTCTCTTAGAGTACTTCAGGGAAATGCCCCCATCAGCACACAGGTGTAAGCTATTATTTGGGTAATAAGCACTTAATTATTCACCTACTGCAAATGGAAAATAATAAAAAAACTATTGGTGTTTGTAATTGCAATAGAAGGATGAAAAACTAAATTATGAGCGGGTTGTTGTTCTTTGTGTTCTTTGTGCTAGCGTAGCTCCTATAAAGTGTTGGCTCTGGTTTGTGTAGAAATCAGAATTCCTGACCTGCAGGAACTCTAAGGAATGAGCTCACCTTCTCCTGCATGAGGTAAAAACGGGTCTCCATCCCTGTCTGTTGTTTCCAGGAAAATACTTCCCTCATAAATCATCTTTATTGTTTTTCAGGAGTTTCTAGGCTGCAGCAAAATGCAGATGACTTGACAGTGGAAATTCTTATTGCCTCCAAAAGTAACATTTTATGAGCTACAGTTTTATCAGTGCTGCGTGCTCTTACTTCAGCACATTATCCATCTTATGTGGAGCTGCAGGTAAATCCCACTCTTAGCTAGGGAAAAAATGAGGAGGCAAATTGTTACAAAATGAAATTTTGTTCTCCTATTTTTGTCAAAATACTTTTTTCTTATTTAGTGTTGAATGTTGCAGTAAATTGCAGAGAAGGTAAGTAATTGACCAAATACTGAAAATACATCCTGTTTAGAAACATGATAAAAAAAGGAGAAAATTATTCTATACTTAAGGATCTGATATTTTTTCTGCTGATCTCATCTTTATGTAGACTCATAACCAATGGAAAGAAAGTGTTGAAACAACTCAAATAAAGTTATATATAGGAGTATTAATAAGGTACTGGTCTTTATTTTACTCTCAGTTAAATTCTGGATGTTTACCTTAACTGGTGTGAAAACCAAAAAGGTGAGTGTTGTAACTGAGAGCACTGGAAGAAATGATAGTTCTGATGCTGTGCATTTACATTGTGGGCTTTAATATTCAGTTGAGATTGCTTGATGGCTGCTTTGGTGAACTGTCCCTGGGAAAGGTCCACAGAAAGATACAAAAATACAAGCACAGAATGGTCTGGGTTGAAAGGGGACTTTAAGCCATGGGCAGGGACACCTTCCACCATGCAGGGTGCTCCAAGCCCCATCCAGCCTTGGCTTGGACATTTCAGGGCTCGCATGTGTTCAGTGTTTTTCCAATTAAAATGTCTTGAAAATTTCACAAGGATGAAAGAGCGAGGGGCAAGCAGAATGTGTGCTGGAAAGTGAAATAAATCCCATGGACTTGTCTGCAAGGATGTACAGCTGTCACATTCAGTATGACAGTGGTGACACTCAGGTGTTAGGGCAAGGTGTGGCGAACAGGAACACATTCAGCACAGTCTTGTGTTTAATTGAAAAACCTCCATTAATTAAAACCATTTAATGCAACCTGGGTTTGGATTTAATAAACAAACCAATGTTACAGACATTTAAATGGATGTTGTGCCACAAGGACACATGTGGTGTGGCATTAAGCTCCAATGCAGGTGGTACAATAAATTGCTGAATTGAGTGTAAAATGAAGCATATATTACAGTGTGACTTCGTTATAATGAGGGTCTAGGTGTTAATAAAACAAGAAAATAAGTGTTTTTAATTGGAAAAGGTACTTTGCTATAGCAGCTTCATATTTAACAACTTGTGCTTTTAAATAGATTGAAGTCAAAGATCAGCTGAAGTTTCAGTAGATTTTTTTTTTATGTGTATGTGCTCTTTCCCCTAGGAACAATGACCATCTGGGTGAAAATAGACTATTTTAGAAAAAACACCTTTTGTGTCCCATGTCTGTATTTAAAGAATGTCTGTTTAGTATTGGGTTTGGGAGGTAAATACTACGGGGAAGTTTTTCAGCATGACTTATCAAACTTTATGGCTTCAAAGGAAGAAAGAGAAGCTTCATTTTCAGTACTTCCTTAGGATGTTGTTTATTTGATGAAACTATTACGCCATAAAAACTGAAAGATTTGTGAAGGATGATGGCCTCTGGCAATGTTTATCCACACAAATCACTTCCTTCTTGGAATCAGAAGTGTTCTTATATAGAGCATGAAACACAAAGAGCAGAAAAACAGGAGTTAAACCAAAGCACAGTATTAAATAAAAGCACTGTTGGGAGATCATGGAAAGGGAATGTTAATGTGGGCCTGAGAGATTCTGAGTCTTCTTCCAATGTCTTTTTCCCTATTTGTTCCACACAAATCATCACCACACAGGCATTCTTCAGGAGGAAGAACATACAACATGTCATGTCAGGTTGGCTCTCAGAATCCCCTCATTTCAGATAGGAAGGGGTTTTGGATAATGGGAATGTACTCTTGAAGTCTGGAGAATGTATTATAAGCCTGATGGGCAAACCCTCATGCTTCTTGATCAGCTAATGCAAACTCTTTTCCAAGGTGATTTACAAGTTCTCATTATTTTGTTCAGAAGTAGAAATGTGGAACTCATCAGGCAAACGTGGGTGTGCTCATTTGTTGAAGAAAGGCAAGTCAAGAGTTGCATGTGAGGTTCAATGAAACTGATTTTGTGATACAAATATGTTCTAATGTCTGGAAGGGTTATGGCTTTGTGCAGCTCTCTGCTGCCTATACTGAAAATGCCTGATGTAGATCAAATTTCAAAAATAATCTAAGTTTCAAGTGGTTGTCAAGTTTCTAATCCAGGATTTTTTTTTTTTTTTGACCAGGATGACTACTACAAACAGCCAAATAGGTGTTTATATTATGCTGTCTTCGTAAAGTGATATTGTAACTATCTTATAATGAGGTACTTCCCTATTTCGAGTCTAAGCTATCTGTAACTAAGGGACATCTGTATTTTTCTTTATTTTCTCCTTTGCTTTTTAGTTAGTTTTTTTTGCTAGCTAAGGCAGAGAAGTTCCCCAAACTGTGGTTTTTCTTTTTCTTAGAACTGTTCAAACCTGCTCTCAACTAAAAACCCAGAAAACCACCAAAATCTCACACCTGTAGCCCACCAGGCAGAGATGCTGCATTCCAGTGCTGGAGGGACTGATAATTGAGTGAGCCGAGCTGCACCTCACAAAAATGACTTTCTACCTTTGTCATGTCTTCAAAACGAGAAGATAGGTTAGTTTTTGTTGTTCATTTTTCATGCTAGTAAATACTTTACCTATTAAATAAACAGATTTTTTCCACTTTTCTCCAAAGAAATCTTTCCCAAAACCAATTAAAAGAACTTATATTTGCTTTCTAAAAAAACCCCAACTCAAAAGTTTCCTCCAAAATTTGCCCTAAGCCAGGACACTGGCTTCTCAGCCTCCTGAGCTGATACTCTGCAGTTAATCACTCTAATGGAGTTTACTAAAAAATATCCTGATTATTCTAAAAGAGTTTAATAATTTTTTCCTTAGATTGAGAAACAGGTGTGCTACTGCACTTAGGTTGAGAGGGACATTATGATCCATATTGGGGGTAGTTATGCACAGTAAGAGATAAGGAGAATAACTTCTTACTTGACTTAACTGTAGTCATAGAAGATAATCTGATCCACTCTGTAGGCTTAGAGATAATTTTCTAGTAGATGAAAGAGATTCTCCCCTAAGTATTTATTAATATATGCTTGGGATATATTTAAAACACATTTGATTGATAAAATTTGGGATTAAAATCAAGAAAAAGAGAAACAGTTTTTATTGACAAGACTGATACTAAACATGCCAGAAGAGGTGCTTTGTATCCCATTCCAACTCTAAAAACATCTAAAATGGGCTCATTTAGAGTGATTCCTTTATCAGCTGTGCTGGTTCTGAGTGCAGTCAGTGGCTTCAGTGGCTCCTCTGAGCAGTTTGTCAGGGCAGGGTGGCATTTCCTGACTGCCTGGAGCTGGTTAGAATCTGCAAAATGATGATTTGGATATGTTGAATGTGAACTTGGTAAATATCTGTTTCATTTCAATGTTGTCAGAAATGAGGAGGGAAATCTGATTTCTAATATACAGATATAATGAATGTTCTGTTGTGTGTTATAGCTGTACTTGCCATTCCTCCTTGTGGATATGAAAACTGATCAGAGAAAAAAAAAATCTGAAAACTAGAAGTTTTCCTTCTCTCCATTGCTGTGCCACTGCTAAGCCTCACAAAAGCCCTCTCCTGGTTTCCATAGAAATGGCCTGTCTGCTGATTGGAGGTACAGGTTCACTTCCCTTTTTTCTTGTATATCTAAAGTCTGAGTTTCCTGAGAGATTTTTTTATCCTCTGCGTCCTTCATGTATAGAAGGGCAACCCAGGTAGAGAGGCTGGTGGAACTGGGAAACTTCCTCTCCCAAGGAAAAAATCTGGATTTATTTGACTGAAGAGCAGAGAAAAAAGGCTTGTGTGTGTCACATGTGCGTTTCTGTGCATCTGAACAGAACCAGCTCTGTGTGTGCATGCTCCACAATGTGTTCTTGCTCCTATAATGTCCCTGTGATCCCACTGGAACATCAGCGAGCAGATTTAGGAGATCCTGAGTTAAAGCCATGCAGATGGAGTCTCAATTCCTCATTAGGCTGAGTTTTATAACTATTTATATACACAAGATTTTCTGTTTACAGTTTGTTTGCATTAGAATACACCCATTTCTTTGAACCATGTGATAGGAGATGACTAGAAAATGTATTGGGGAACCACCCACAAATTGTTTACTGTGAGTAAGGTCTTAATCTATGCTACAGGATTTTTTCCTAGTTTAGTTTGAGGCATTTATGTCTACAAAGATAAAATTCAGAATTTAGTTCTGATGAGTGTTATTTTTGTAACTTTCAACAAAATTGCTTTCATGGAGTTACTCTAACAGAGTTATTTTAAAAATAAACAGGAAATCATGAGGCATATCCTCAAATTTGTTATCTAGTGTTTTGAATCCAGATGATGAGCACTTTCACAATTCTGCCCATGGTGTTCAGTGCATTATTGATGCTCACTGACATGAAGAAAAGCAGAATTTTTTCTGCTGTTTCTGAGAGCAAGGGTTTGATGTTGCTGAAATAAGTGATACATGATTTTCATAATGCTGTTTTCTGTTTGTGTTCTGCTTTTTTCCCTTTTTATTACCTTTGCTCCCCTTGACATTTTCAGGAATATTAAATCTTCCCAATAGAGCTGTTTACTTCTATACTAGCAAAAAGGTCATCTTAAGAAATTCCAAAGAACAGTACTACTGAAGGACTTGGGGATTTTTTTAGTGCTTTGGGTTTTCTTTCTACTTTTGCAAACTCATCACTTGTCTTTCAGATACCATTTCTACCTTCTCACCTGCCAACATGGAGCAGTAATTAAAGCAAACCCCTCTGTGATCATATCCTTCATTTGTGCTCTTTCAGGAGTGCCCATGAAGGGAACTTTTTTTTGTGGTTGCTCAGCTGCAGGTGACAGCTTCAAAATACCTTCTCAGCTACTTTGGGAGAGTTGTTGCCTTCAGCCCCAAATAAATGCCAGGGAAAAAAATCAGTGGTCTGAGACTGCTCCTGTTTCACTTCCAATGTTTAAAGACATCACACAAATTCTTTATTTCCTTTTGGTGATTTGCTTGTAGTAACAGTTCTGTTTCCATTCCATTTGTGCTCAGATTTTTTAGCAATAATATATGCAGTCCTAGAAAACTGAGGTAATACTTGTCTTCCAAATTTTCTGGCATTTCCTAAGGTACATGGGAAATTGCTGCATTTCTTACAGAGGAACAAATCTTGGCAGGTTTGGCATATTCTATATATGTAACTATTGCTTGAATACAATTCCATAGGACAGAGATCATCTGTGTTATTTAATTAAATGCAATATATTGGTATAGCAACATTTTTATGTTCTTGAGCATTTAACAGTGTTTTAAATGGTTTTGCTGTTTTCAAAAAGTAACATCCTTTTCAGTTCATTTAACTGTAAATATTTATTAACATCTACAGTTTCCTCTAATTATATAAATGGAACAAACCAAACACACCCAGATTGTTATATTTTCTGCAATAGGACTCTATTTTATATTCAGTCCTCTTAGTTTTCTGTGTATATGTATGATCAGACTAGAACTACCTGTACTGAATCTTCAGCTGTATCATTCTTTGTGTCAGTGTCTGAAGCAAATTACCTGCTAGCAAAGATACCAAAAGATGAATCTTAGCAGCACAAAGTCCCTGAGATTTTTGCAATAATTAAAATATTTTGGTTATAGGCTCAGATTTTCTGCTTGGAAATCAGCACTCTGTAGGCAGATAAATGAAGATGGTCCCCTGTGAAATTGAGTTTCCAAGGTGGGGGGTGGCAGTGGTGGAGAAATCCAGTCTTGCTTTTTCTTTTTTCCTATTTTGTTTTTTCCTTTCTGTTCATTCTGAAACTATGACTTGATGAATGTCATTAGGCTGTAATCCATTTATTCCATGTGGTGGTGGGAACAGAGAATTTGACAGTTCATTTGGACTGAGTGAGCCAGAGTCACTCTGAGCTGAGCCCCCACTGCCATCAAACTGCGAGATTTTCTTCTTGATCATTTTTCTCTCTTTTGCTCGGCGATTCTGGAACCAGATTTTCACCTGGGGCATTATAAATGATACCTGATTAATTCAAAGTGCTGCTCAACCTTTTACAGTAATCATAGCAATGGAAACGTAGGTAGGTTCAAAAACACTATTTAAGAAATTCAAAACAGACAAACAAAAATCCATGAGGGCAAAAAGCCCCAAAGCTAAAACCAAACCAAGAAACCCTCCAGAAACAAAATACTGAATTTGTGCAGTGAAAAGATTCTGCATTATTCTGTATTAATTTTTGGCATAATAACAAATGGAAAATTGATTTTTTTCTTTCTTGATTTCTTTTTTCCTTGGGCCTGGTGTAAAGTGAACACACTGTGTTATATTTAGGAACACAGAAATCATTGAACTCATTGAGACTCAGGCCACAGAGTTCATAATTTCAACTTTGCCATTGTCATAATTTAGGAAGCTGCAATTGTGGATTAATTGTGAAGATTTCTTTATTAGCTATATTACAGACTAATTCAAAGCCAAGTAGTGAGGGTTCTTTTTCTTCATTTATGTTGTGAGTGATTTTTGTGTGTGCATATACTCTTATTTATTTAAAGGCTTTGATTGTTTTTATTGTTGGAATATATATTTAAATATGTATTTTACAGATACATATGTACGGCTATAGTATAAATAGATATATCAGCATTACTTAGACAGTCAATTTCCCAGGTTCCTTGTGTGGGTGAAAGACTTATCTCGATTTTCTTTCCTTATGTGAAAGTGTGAATGAGGAGGAACTTCTCTTTGTGTTTCCCTGCTTGCTAACTGTGTTCTTAATTCACAGTATTTGTTACAGCCTTTAAGGTGTGTTGAATACAATACAATATAGAAATTTGTACCCTTGCTTTGTGTTAAAAATCTCAGTGGTTTATTTTTATTTTTTACTGTCTCCCTGGTATTGGCAGGAAGAAGCATTTAGCTTTATCTGTCCTGTGGAAATGCTGATCAATTATGTATTTTGTCTATATTATATACGTGAAGGAACTTTACCAGGTAAAAATGGGCTGGCATTAGGAGCAGCAGCTCTGTAAAAGGAAACTGCTGATTTTCTGCAGGATCACTGGTGACTGCAGGCATGTCTGTGTTCTAAATCAGCCAGCTTGCATAGCATTAAGGTGGAGGTTGCAAATCTCTCATAATTGCAGTTCTCTGAAAATTTTCCAGTGCAGCTCTATCCTGTGTCTTTAGTCCATCCATGATAAACTTGGCTTTTGTCGTTCCTGCCTGGGAGCACTCACAGTCTGTGCAGTGCACTCTGTACTATTTTGATTTGGGACTGAGCATCACTGCACTAAAATATTTTTATAAAATCCCGGTGCTTGAGCCTAAAACACCAGTGATTGTATCTACATTCCTATGCTTCCAGCCTCCATTGGTCCCTCTCTATTCTATGCTCTTTCACAGGCTGAGTGCAGAATCAGAGGAAGCCACTGAAAGAGGAACATTTTAAGAGACCTGAATGTGTATATTTAGAAAGAACAAAAGCTTGTAAAATTCTAAGAAGAAAGATCTCTATTTAATATTTACCTCAGGGCAATAATCTGGTTTTTAAATGAGATGACTAATTCAGTATCACCAAATCTGCCCTTCTCCTCCAGCTGTAGCAGAACCATTGCAATTTTGGAGGCTTGGATCCAGCAGTTATTATTTCCACACACTGCAGAGCTGTACTTGGGAGAAGTGCTCTTCAACACAGGGGTTTTAGGGAATTCTCATCCTGAATTCCTGCAGTGTCTGTATGAACATGGCTAATGTAGCTGTGCCCTGCTCAGGAGCCTGGCTTTATCCAGGACAGAGATTAAAAATGTGCTAGACACAAGTGAAGGCAGAGCTACTCTCCAAGGGAGCAGCGATCCGAGTATGTGTTTGAACATTCCCTGGATGGATAGTCTTGGCTACACATATGTGTGGCAAAAAGAGATCCTGACTTGAAAATCCAAGGTTGTAAAACCTGCCTGAATATGCTGAAATCTGACAAAGGAAGAATGTGGCCTGTGGAAATTGTGGCAATATATTTGTAACAAAAAAACCCATAGATATTTAATTGGATTGAGTTTTAACTTTCCTGTCTTCCAGCTGAAATATATAAAATGCTTTGGATTTTTTGCTGGCCATTATTTGGTGGGGTTTCAGGAAGAAATAAACTTTTGAATTTTCTAACTCTTGGAACCATGGCTAAGATCCTGTTAAGCTGAAGCGTTTAAATTCCAGCTGGCTAGCAAGCTAGAAAGTAAGAATAACTATTTTTAACGTATAAGTTAACTCCTAATGTTGAGTTCCGTATAACTGGAGGGTTCTGTCAAATTAGCCTGTTAATACCTGTGGGGTTGTGTAGTGGATTCTCTGTGTGTCAAATGCAGAGAGGCAGGAGGTGGCTGCTGCTGTGTCCCCTGGCAGTGGCAGTGCCTGGGCACTGCGGGCACACCTGAGGGGTGCTCTCTGTACCTGTCTTTCCGAGAGTCCAAGGTTTGCTGCGAGTTCTGACTTCCTCCTGATTGTAATGTATCTGTTGCAGTGAAATTCCTTCTCTAATTCCAGTCTCTGGTGATCTGTGTAAACAACCCGGTACTTTTCTTTTGTTCTTGTTTTACCTGGTTAGAAAAGAAGGATTATTCATATATTGAATTTGATTTTCCATAGCAGCTTGCAAACATCTCAGGCATTTCCCAGACATTAATTAAACTACAGAATATTGTATGGGATTGTTTACTGTGGTACAGAGGAGGAATAGAGGTGCAGGGTGAAGTAACAGAGTGTTGGTTACCATAACTGCCCTTCCCTCTTTATTTTCCCTCTCTGTAAACATATATTTAAATGTGAAGCTCTTAAGTGATAAACACCCTGAAGCATCTTAAATAATTCATAGCAGTACAGAATTGGTGCTGGCTATATTAATCTCAAAGGAGTTTCATTTCAGAGCTCACTGCAGTGACTTCTGTATCTGTGAGAACATAAATACCCAGGATTTCAAGACTGAGCCTCAGTCACAATTTGTGCAGTTGTACTGTGGCCTAATTCTTTATCTGAGTTTCTAAAAATTGCTTCTGTAGCACAAAGAGATGTCCTACTAGAAATGTTTTTCCTTTCTTGTGTGGCCATAGGATAAACTTAGAAGTTCAATAATAATTTAATGTACATTTTCATAAAGGTCCAGTCTTGCAAGGTGCTGAGTGCCTATAGGATATTCCTGAGGGTACTCTGTGCTGGGCTTCCCTTTAGAGTTGAAGGTACTTGACAATTTGTAAGATGAGGCAATAAAATCTTGTAAAAGGATTTCAGGATCATCCTCTTTCTAATGTATAAAAGAAATATTCTTAGATATACCAGATAAAGACTGTTATGAGAAGCATTACTAAATGTTTAGAATGCGTCTCTCATTTAATATAATTTTTAAGCAATTCTTCATGTAATAATAATCCAGAGAGATCAGTTTTCAACTTATTTGTTCTCCTTTGCACTTTCAACAGCCAACTAGATAGTTTTCCTTTTTTCTTCTGATCTTCCCAGTTTTTTTTTGATGTGAGTTTTCTGGGACAAACTGTAGGACAAAGACTCCTTTAAAGTGGTTCCCTAAAATCCATTGAGGTGTTAAGATGAAGCACACGCCACACAAAGGAGCGACAAGGAGATCTTATCAAGAACCCCTTTCACATTCAGAAACACAAGCCAATTGGTTTGGAATTTACAAGCCCTAAACAAATGTCAGACGCTTTCATCTTAACAGAAGAAAAAGGGACAGAAATAGATGAAGGAATATTTTTTCCTCAGTTCTCTTTAATTTTGGACCGACACCAAGGATAGACTGGGATATTTTTATCTGAAGGTAGACATAACTGAAATAAGCAAATTAGGGATTTTTCCCCAAATCCTATGCCACTTCAACTTCCAGCATGGAAGATTTTCCTGCCTAAATTTGCAGGACTAAATCATTCAACTAAGTTTACTTTTTTCATGGTACAAATCTTTGGCTTTGAAATATTTGCCCTCAGTGATAGTTCTAATGCTAACAATAGTATAGATATTCAGGTTCCTTGTAAACTGAGGGCTTAGAGGGAATCTTTGAAAACAAGTTAAAATTCAACAAGGTTATTCCGGCCTCACTATAATCAGCAAATATAACCATGATTTGAGGGGGTGGAGAAAAGGAGTAGTTTTCCCCATTCCCCTTGGTCATAAAATTCACAGAGTATTTCTTCTGAAGACAATAAAGCTGGGAGAAGGCCTCTTTATTTGCTGTGAAAATCATCACCCTTTCCGGCAATATAACTCCTGAAGAAAAGAGGGAGAAGGAAGAGACAAGACTGCATATCAAAGCAAAGTGAAGTGTTAAAAGGGTCTGTTGCCTCAATATGACAGATAGGCCTCAAAACCTCAGACAATGTAGGCCAGTGGAAAATACATGTCACAACTAATTTACAAAGAAAAATAAATTAGCATTAAAGCAGGGGCCTGGCCTTTTTTCCTGCTATTCTGTTTTGCTTTCTGGCCATGTTTCTGCTATACTGTAATCTGAATTACTTGTACATCACAGCTTGTTTAAACAAAGACATAAAATGTGTTGACTATAGTTTAAAAAAAGTCCTGTGGCTGAGCTTGTAACATATGAAAATCATGTTGATCTTTTGTTTAGTCCTGTTAAAGTCCCTTCTCTTTCTGAGAAGGGTCACTCCCAGATGAAGTTTCAAAATCTTTTTTTAGGCCCTTTAGATACCTTTTCAGTAAGTTTTACACTTTGAAGGTTTCCTTGCTCTCAGAAAATGCACATCTTGCCCTGCTGATTACACAAAGTTTAGAAAATAATTGGAAGTTCTGCTCCAGCATAACTGAAGTAGATGGCAGATTTTATAATAGGTTTTCATTAAAACCCGGATCAGACTGTCAGGAATTCTTTAGATGTTCTTTTGCTCACTTGGAGGGCCTGACTGGGAAGGTCTCTTTACCAAGCCCACTTTCCATGTTTATTTAAAAAAAAAAAATTCTTATTGCCTTGTGTATTTGCATGTAATGTTTGTGTGTTTGAAGTAAAACCAGGGTTGCTTCTGAATATACGGTTATGGTCCTTTAGTCAGAGAATGTTTCATTTCAAATCACATTTTATCTGTTGAAAGGACAGAGTACTTCTGTCTTTGATCTTGTTTCATCTTGAAGATTGACTTTATCAGGTAAATTTTCATTTCACTTCACCTGCAATTGAATTTTGTTTTGTATCAAATGCTAAATAAGAATACTGAATCAGAATGTAGTGTATTTAATAGACTCTAAACAGAGAGGAAACAATTCCCACAGACATTTCCTCACTCAAAATAATTCCCACTGTCTTTAGGACAGTATTTCAAGAGGCTCTCTCATCTAATTAGACGTGTTGTGGTTTCTGTTACTCCATTCTGCTCACATACATTGATGTGTGTACACACTGGTGGAGTTAAGGACATACATGTTTATGCATAGAAATGTATTTGTAGAGTTTAGGGCTGTAATTCCGGGATTTTAAAGCAATGAACTTTATTAAGCAGTGATAACATTGAAGGAGAGGAACCAGTAGCTACTTTGATAACCCAAATAATATTATGGCAATAAGGAAAAACAGCAAGTGTGTTTCAAAGAGGGGTTATAATGGCATCAAGTCAGTTTTCTTCTAGAGAAAAGACTGTTAAGTTGGTACAGAGCAGTGCATAATTTTAGCCTTGTCATTTATTTGAATTCTCTTCCATTTACTACAATTTTTTTTCTGTATCTGGATTAAAATTTTCGGGTTTTTTTTTTGTTTTTTGTTTTTTTTTAAGATACCAGTGAAAGGCTAAATCTCTCTGGTACTTTTCTTGTTTTGCACAATTACCACGTTTGTGCTTTACTCTCACGATCTCTTTTTTTAAGGTGGGTTGATGCCTTGCCTCACTTCTGTGAAGTCCTGGGCTGTTTTTAACACTTCAAAGGATTGGGTTCTAGGAATGCACAGCCTCAGGACATGCAGCTATTGATGGGCTCTGTTCCACCTGTCCCGAATGGTTCATAAAGTATTTCAGAATGTGTGTAAATCCTCTGTAAGCACTTTTGAGACTAGAGATTAATTTAGGCCCAAAACAGTGTCTCTGAATTGCAAATATATTTTATAAATTTGGACAAGTACATGAGAAACTTTTCAGGGTCTTCCAAGACTGTTCAATAAGTGCAAAGCAAGGATTTAGATTTTTGAGTGTGTTAAACTTTAAGAATGTTATTCTTCAAGAATGCCACACGTTGAAAATTCTGTGCCAACATGACACAGCCAGGGCTGCCTCATTGACAGGCAGTAGTCTCAGCTGAATTTGATCTGCACTCAAGTCTTGCATCACTTCTACACCTGGCAATCTCCAGTGATGTTAATGAAGTTACTGGGATTTACATGAGTATACAGAAGAGGGGAAAGCAGACTGAATCTGCCTGGCTTTGAAGGCCCTTGTAGAGGCTCCGAGTGGCTGGAGAGCATTGTGCTATCCTAATGTTCACCAGCATTTTATATTTAGTAACAGACGCAAAACAATGGGTGCCTGCTTTATAATTAAGAAACAATTTCTAGGCTAATTTTGCTTCTCTGTAGCAACCATTTGAAGAAGGATTTTCTCTGAGGCTGCAGTGCAGATTTTCTGTGTCTTCTAAGATTGCTCCAATTGTAATTGCTCTGCTTTCTTTTGAGCATTTCTTTGATGCTCCCTAACACACACTTATTACTTTTAACTTGAACAACAGATTTAGCAAACCTTGCTACACCCAGTTTCCACCTTGAGAATATATATGGAAACATTTATCTGGCAGGCAGCTTGTGGCAAGAACAGGCACATCAGAGAGTGCCACTTACAGAAAGGAGATTTTTAATTGTGTAATTGTGGAGGCTGAAAAATTCTGGCATGTAAGGAGAGTAAAACTGATGTGAAATTAAATGAAAAGGAAGCTTAACCAAGGAATTATGTGATCTGCAAACAAAATAGTCCATGCTGATTGTTTGGGTCAGATTGCTTCTCTAGGAATATTTGTGCTCACCTAATAAATCTGGGCAGAAAAATATGAGACACAGGAAAATTGCAGAAAATTGCATAATCACTGCAGTTAGATCAGAGTGCATGGTTTTCTTTATAATTATTGAGAAGCCTATAAGGTTTAAAAAGATCAACCTGATTATATATTGATATCTCCCCTGCAGCACAAAATAACTATGTAGTATTTCTGTCTGTAACTGTTAAATGTTGCTGCATTGCTCCATAACACCTCTATGCCTATCATGTTTATCACACAAAATGCTTTACAGATTGTTGCAACAGGGATTCCTGGAGCTGAGCTCCAGCCGTGTCTGACCACATCAGCCATTCCACTACAGCAACCACAGCTTTTAAGCCTTTATGGGAGAAAGTGAAACTAGCACAAATTTAGTTAAAACTGCATTAAACAGCAGTAGTTTAAATAAATGTCATAATTGACCCACCAACCTCTGTGCTTCAAGTAAAGTTAATTATTTCTGAGCTCAGTGATAGCAGAAGATGCTTTCTGGGGTTGGAAGTTGAATTTGCACTCACCAGCAGTGTTGGTTTGCACCGTTTTCCTCATCCACTCATAAGAGCTGTGCCTTTGGCTGTTGGGAGAGATTTGCTGGGCATTAATTGTATCTACAGGAGGTAACCCCGCAGCAGCAGCGGGGTGCAGGGTGCTGTAATCAGCAGAGCTGTAGGAGCCCTGGCCAGGGGACGAGCCATTGATGTGGGCAGCGGGCACGGCGCTGGAAGGGCCTGGGCCGTAGGCGCTCCAGTCCTCGCGCTGGGGGCCGTAGTGGGAGCCCCAGGCTGGCGCCGGCTGCCCGTGGGTGTCCAGGGCTGGCACAGGGTGGTATCCCATGTAGTCGGAGTAGGCTGGAGCAGACACGAAGTTTTGCACGGGCAGGTTGTTGTTGGCCCTGGCAGATCCTGGGTACATGCTGGGCTCCTTCTCCAAGAGCGAGCTCACGTACATGGCTGTCCTAGACTGTAAACACGGCGTCACAACATCTTGTTCCTCAGTGTCTTCTTTTACTGCTCAAAAATATTTGAGTTTGGTTTTCTCTAATAATGCCACTCTGCTTGGAATCTTCTACTTCATCCTCTTTTATTATCAACTGTGTTACCAGGTGCTGGTGGTAATGGTTTACCAAGATCTTGTCTGACGTCAGCCCAACTGCCTGCCTCATAATTACATTTACATTCAAATGAAGGGCTGACCAACCCCACCTTGCTGCTGGTTCTGGTGCTTTCTCTTTCAGGGAACTTTTATCTATCCTATTATCCTGCCCTGATATTCAACAGGATCCCAGTCCTGTAAGATGATGCAACAGTTACTTGGATTTGTATCTTAAATAGTTAAGTAAATTGACGTTTTTAAGAAATTAGAATGGTAACTGTAATAGTAATGTTTAACATTCTTCTTGCCTGAAACCTTTATTTTGTCAGGTTATTACCAATCAACAAATAAATCTGTAACTCTCTTAATTTCTCATATAATTTTAAAAATCTCCTTTTTAGTCTTTAACGGATACAGTCAGTTTGAATAATTGTAATTCAATAACTTCAGAATATAGAGCACCTTGTAAACAGCATGTCTTGAGTATAAATGTCTCAGAAATGTTCCTCACATTGTTGATGTTTGTAAGTGTTTTTCCAGAATGGGAGAGTTTAAAGCTCTGACTGTAAGACACATGTTCACACTCTCCCCATACAGAGTGATTTAAGAGATCCCTTCATCTGGTGGCCGTTGCAAACTGATAGATTTTAAAAAGCAGACAATAAATCTTCCTAACAAAGATGGTGCCAGAAGCACAAAGAAAATGACTGTAAAAAGTAGTGAAAAAAGTCTTTGATTAGGCCCAGGAAAATTGTTGGCTTCTGTTTCAAGCCAACTTTTATCTGCCTGAAAGGAGGCTGGTTCCTTCCTCTGAGGCTGCTGGCTATAGTCTGCTTTCCTTGGCAGCTTAGGCCAGGGAAATCAGCAGGGAGAGACATCTGGGTTGTTAAGTTTGTGAATCAGAAGTGCCCTGATGCTGCTCTGTGACACACGGATGCTCCCTGGGTCAATGTTCGTGTCCCTCTGAGAAAAATTATTCTGAAAGTGGCTTTATATCCAGTTACTAACAGCTTGTTATTAACATGAGAACTAAACCACACCCTAGGACTTTAGAATTGCCTCTCTAGGTTGTGTAGCTGCAATTTGTGGAGTGAACTCGCTGTATTTTTATTTTGGATGGGTTTCTTTGCAATGAGCTATTTGTAAGGGCTATGCTTGCAAAAGAGGTGCAAATTACAATGAGTTGTTTCCCTTTACAGAGGTGTGGGTTTTCATTCAGTAGCCTTTGTATTTTGACACTGCTTTTATTCACACATCCCTTCTAATTCCAGCACTAAAGGATTCTAAGTGTGTACTTACAGACAGGAAAGATATTCCTCTTCTCTTTAGGACTGTGCTTTTTGGGGAAAGAATTTTTACTGAGAAGTGTAGCAAAATCTTTGTAATTAATTTTGGTTCATTTAGAGAATTCTACATTAAGCATTGGGAACCTCAGAATGTTGAGGCAAGTTGCATGGGACAGTGCATGGAAAAACGAACATCATCTGTAATTGGTGTACCCTTATAAAAATAGATATTACAAATAAATGGAAAAAGACTCTTATTCCCTTTATCTTGAAAGACATGGAATTGTAACACAATTTTTGAGAGCTTGCAGACTTTTTAGTACTGAATGTCATCCAAATTCAAGAAGATGTGTTTCCTATATCCTTGGAGTATTTATCTGTTTGTGAGCACTATCCCCCAGTTAAATTCCCTTGTATTGCTGAGTGTTGTGCAGGGCTGTCAGAGGCAGATCCATAGGAGGGGAAGGTTTTGCCTCCATTGGCTCCATCTGCATCCTCTGACAGGGTATCCATGAGCATTGGCTGCTCAGAGATTTCAGCTCAGCTCTGTTGTTTGACTTCCCCCAAACATATCATTTTCACATCCCTGTGAATGATGTAATCTCATATATTGCAGTAGATGATGGGAACATTTTAAATCCCTGGTGTTCCTCTTGCTTCATGGGTTGTCTCTGCACATAACCCATAATTTCAGTATCACTTAATCATATTTTTTGTATCTCAGAGCGTTATCCTTTATTCTCTGTTCTTCTTTTATCTTTTGTTTATGCTCCTCCTTTCCCTTTCTTGTTTAGCCTGTTCCATTATCTGAATTTTCTTAGGTTCTATTTCGATTCTTTCCAGAACATAATTAGATCAAGATACTCCGATGGCAATTTGCTACACTGATTTGATATCAGCTAACAATAGTAAGCTTTGAATAAGGCATTTTGTTTAAAAAGATTTACATAGCAGGATAAGATTTCTGAGGAGGACTGCAGATTTTTAACACCAAAGTGAGAATAAGATAACTAAAATGGCAATGTTCAAATGATCTGCACCCAGGGTCTGGTATCTCCTATTTTGTGTAACAGAACAGGGTAGAGATATTAAAAAGGAGCCGTGCCTTTGCATGTTGTCTTGTAGTTTGAGGCTACCAAAATTTTGGGGTAGCTCTGTTTTCTGAGAGCTAATGGAGTGTTAATCCAAGTCTGCCTTCCCAAGGATCATCTTGTGGCCATGCTCAGCTCTTTCCTGCTCAGGCCCAGCATGTCAGCAGCTTCAGAGTCACAGAACCACTGAACCTTCAGTGCAGTAACTTAGGCTGCAGTTCCATGGACGTTTCTGTTGGGCATGGCTTTCAGGGAATACAAAAAAGAGGGGAAAAAGTGAACTGCCATTGCCTTGGACTGTGTGGGGGATGGCAGTGGGTGGAGTAAGGGTTAGGTGTGCTGCCTGTGTAAAGTGCTGGTGGAACATGGGCTCACTCCGGACTCTCTGGGGTGGTGGGGAAGTGAAAACTCTTCTGAGGCAGTAGGCTGGACATCCAGAAAGCTCAGCCATGTGGAGTCTCGTATTTGCAGCATTTTCTGCAGAAACAGATCTGTGTGGCACCAGCAGCAGTAGTGCCGTGTTCCTTGGCAGAATTCAGAGAGATGGATTGCCAGGAAAACTGAACTCCAAGGTTGTTTTTCTTCTTCACCTGTTCAAATGCCAGGTGTAATTTATCTACTAAACCAGTGGCCATGGGAGTTGTCTCAGTGGTTGTTAGAGTGAAGTTTTATGTATGTTAAATCAAATGTACTTTGGGGAAGAAAATTTTCTAGTTTTCTAACAAGTAACAAGTGTGGTGCTCACCACTGGAACTCTAAAGTGTTTGTTTGTACAGGCAGTGGAGATGGTGCACTACTGTATAAGAGCTGTTCTAGAGAGCAATTCCACCCCAGTAATAATAACATAATCACAAACGTGCCATTAAGTGTTTTAATGACAGCTATTAAAACTGCAATTTCAGGACTACTGTTACTTTAAAACTTGCCTGTAGAATGATAACGTACATTAAAGGTGTTTACTACTCTGATAGTTTTTATTAGGAACCCTTACTCATAAAATTACTCTTCCTTTTATATGAGGATAAGAGGACAATAATCTGTCTGTCTTTGAAGCGTGAAAATGATGTGAAATCTCTCTTGGAGAATCAAAAGGCAGGTGAGCCTGAATGTGCCCCTTTGTGGCTCAGGTGATAGAAATAGATGTTTATTTTCTTGCATCCAGATGACCACTCCAGTAAGACTGCAGGCTCAGGAATGTTCCTAGCCCATGGTTTTAGAGCTGCATGCTTGCAATTTCACACTCAGGACTTTGTTAGGGAACTCTGTATTACTGATTGTTCTAATGCAGTTTTTTGGAGGTGTCACTGACCCTATATTCAAGATAGGTTTGCACGCACATTAATTCCTCCTAAAATTCTTAGGCAGCAGTAGGAATCTTGAGAAAGAGGTGTCTTTTGCTTTTACTGAAACGTCAACAAACACAAAGCTTCTGAAATGTTTATTTGCCCTTTTAAATTGGACTCTTTTAATATAAAGAACCCTACTTAGATCTCATTTTCAGGGCTTGAAATGCAAGCACGTGCACATGGCAGATGTGGCACACCTCAGAGAGATGAATGAGTGGTGCTGACTGAACTATTCTCAGTTGCTGAACTGAATCTCCTGGGGAAAAGGGAGAAGGGATATAGCGCAATTTCAGTTCTGCCCTGTGTCTCTGATCCCTACTGAGGATCTGTTTTTCATAAGAGAATAACAGAAGAAATAAAGATGCCAGCTGCCTGTGAAGCCTTCCTCAATGGTATTTGGTTTAATTTCATGCCCTGAAGTTTTGGTTGTTAACAAATCCTTTTGAGAAAAATGATGAAAAGTGGCTGGTAGAGAACTGATTGTATTTACCCTTCTGTCTACCCCACTTCTGTTTTTCTAACTGCTGCTAATGACTTATTTTTAATTTCTAAATGTTAAAATGTGTTTTAATATATGACATGGATAAACTGCATCAGTTTTGCCAGGAAGGAATGGTCTGAAGCTAAAGGAGGGTCTTAGTATTTTGAAATTGAAATTATTTAACTTCTGCTTCAAAATCAATACTGACAGAAAGAAGAGCATTCCTTACTGCTCCACAAGCAGCTTGAATTCAGCAGGAGTTACAGAGCCCGTGTGTGAACCCCAGGGTAAATCAATTCTTTAGCAGAACCATAAAAATGAACAGCAGATCCTTGATTGCCATTGATTTGGTTCCTTCCTGAGCAGCGCAGGGCTCCTGGGCCCTGAGCTGATCCCTCGTGCCCAGGTGTGGCCGGGTGGGACTGTTGGGTGCTCCCTGAGAATCCTGCAGGCATTATTTGGCCTGGGCTTTCCTGCAGGAGGTAACAAAGGAATCGATTGCCTTCCCTGTTTGCCTGCCCCCGCAGCTCTCTGCTGCTGGCAGCCTGGCATTTCTGCCCCACACATTTAACTCTGGGATTACTGTCCCTGTAGAGTCTCTCCTGCCTTAGAGGGACGCTGTTTGTTGTGGTTTGGATGACCAAGAGGTGTATCTTAATTAATCCTCTCCATTTATTTTCAGACATTTACGAACAGCATTTTTTTAGAGAATTGAAAGAATTTGTGCTCTTTGGGTATGAAAACAGCTGATAAACATTTTCATCATAAAACCCATGCTTTTTTATTTTCCTGGTGAGTTTTGCACAGTATTGTGTCCAACTAACATCCAGTGCCATCTGAAATGTGACTGTGAGTAATTTTCAGGGATGTGTCATTTCAGTGCTCCTGGACCGCCCCAGCAAACCAAACAAGGGAGCTACAACAGAAATCTGCTTTTTAATCTTTATGGTGACATCCACAATTAATGTATTTTGAAACTTCTCCTTGGGTAGAAGGTGACACATACTTGATGCTCTCTCCTGTGTCCCTTCTTGATTGCATAACCCCTAAGCAAAAATTGAAGATTTTTTTAGAAACATAATTTTGAATTGTATATTTTGCTTAACTGCAAGAGGATTTGGTACAAGGTGCTGTTTGCTTGATTTTTTTGTACCATCTAGATCACAGTTCTAACTGGGAAACAGGGTTTAAAGTTTACTGAATTCCTCTGAAAATGGAATATTCCTTGATAGTTCTTTTAATCACAATTAGGATTAAGGGCTTAGATATTCCTGTGATGTAGCCTAAGGTATGCTTTTCTTCTTCAAGGCACTTCCCTAACAACCAATCAATCTTCACAGTACTCTGTTTTAGTGTCCTGAGTTTTCAGATGTGATAAAAGTGATGAGTTATTTGATATACCCAAAGTCAGGAAGAAAGTGAGTATTAGCCTGAGGATGGCACCAGTATTTCATAACCCACAGTACTGCACCCAAATAATTTCAGCTGATTTGTCTGCAGTTTTCTGTCTCTCTTATTTTTATTTGGACAGAGTACAGCAAGTTAACAGCACTGCACAGGCTTCTTAGAGAAAAATCACTTCCTTTGGGGTTTGGTGGGCAACTGTTTAAAGGATTAGAGCCCATTGGAAATACTTAACTGGAGAGGTTGCTGAGAATTCTTACAAAAAAATCGAACTACTTAAACCAGCCACTGGCATAACTAGAAGGTTAATAATCTCTAAGGTATTGCCCTGGTTTATAGATACTGCTTTTGGAGCAATAAATTTTAACCTTTGAACATGTGCTTCTGCAAATAAAATCCAGCCTTATTTTGTGTACTTAACAACTTCTGATTGGAAACACATAGCAACCTATAGCAAGCATGCTTTCAGCAAACTGGAGCAGAAATGAAGCAGATCTTCAAAGTGGTCACTTATCTTCCTCAATAACTCTTCTACATGTAAACAAGATAAACCAGGTTGTTCTGCCAGATCCCACTCTCTTTGAATGATGTTTAAATAATTTTAAAGAGAACGATGTTGTGTTCAGAAACATTTCTTAAAGTTCTTCCTTGAAGTAGAAATTTCCTTTTAGAAATGTTAATGTGAAATTAGGCTGAGTCATGAAAATGTGATTAAAATAGATAGCTGAGTACTTGATTCTGTGGAACCCTGGGGCCAGGCTTCTGATCACTTGGCTAGAACTAGGTCTTAATTTATTGTATATCAGTGCAAAAGTCAAAGTTTCCATCTGTGTTCTTACCTTTTGAAAGTCTAAATCTGGATTTTTAAAATTGGCTTTTCTCTAGTCTGCGGGCACAATTCCATTTAATTGGCCAGTGTGAGGATGCTTTTCCTATTGAAGCTTTTTGAGTCTCTGTTAAATATCTGTGTATATGTGAATAAAACCTCTAACATTTCCCTCTGCCAGCACAAGGGCTGGTATTTCCAGTGGATTCCTCCTTTGGGTAAACCCAATGGCTTTTTTTTAGGAGAGCAGTTTGTTTGCAATGCTCATTGATGAGGATGGGAAATCCCTTTTGTTCCCATGTGCTCTTTGCCATGTTCCTCTTTTCCTACCATGTGGAAATCAGTTGGAGACTTTCTGTTGCTGAACTTTGAGTTGCAGCTTCTTCCTCTCCCCTGTTACCTGTGCTGTTGGCAGCAAATGGAGCACCACTGTGACAGGAATAAGTGGGAATTTTACAATTTTACAGTGCACCTTCTCAATTTCATTGAACTCTACCTTTGTTTAGCATTGTCCTTCTTCCAAACAAAATGATGAATCCAATTACTCAGTAGTGAAAGCTGCTGGCTCCCTGAACCATCCTGCTCTTCCCATGCTCCTCTAATTTCTCTACACTCTTTTACCATCACTCTTCTTTTAAATTTGATATTGCAATTCAAGAACAGATTAATCGTGATAATCTGCAGGTTCACTTCCTGCAGTAGCTGATGCACATTGCAAAATGGTTATGAAAAAAGGTATTTATTTTAATGCTCTTTATATACAAAGTAATTTCACATCACCAACATTTTGATACTCTAATAGTACTATTTGTTATAATTAAAAAACAAACCCAAGAATGTAGTGCCTAAATGACTTAATGCTCCTTAGTCTTTTTTGCAACAATGACAGAGAGATTTCAGGGGGTACCTTGATGGAAATTACTGAGGATAGGCATCCTAAACTTTTAAACTGCTTGAGACAATGAGGGTATAACTTCTCAAATCACTCATGTGCTCTAAAAATTTTCCCTTTGCCGACAAAAGTTCTGTGCATGCAACTGGGAATCATACTGGGGAAATAAGTATCCAGAGTATTCTTAAGTACTGATTACCTACCAATTCTGCTTTGTATAGAAGGGATCAGCCCTTCAGGAATTGAGACCCACATGAAAAATGCTGAGAGCTTTATTTTAAGTGAAGTGTTCTGTTTGCTTTTTCTTCTATTAATTTGGCTTCTCAAATTTTATTAGTGTCACAATAACTCATAAAACTGGACTAGATTTAAAATTGATTGGATGCAGTTATTGCATCTTTATCCATGGACTCTGCTGTCTCATGAAATGCAGTCACTTTTTGAAACACTTACGCTTTTTAAAAGGACTTCTGCCCCTCTTTGCTCTTTCTTTTAGGATCCAAAATGAATCTGACATGAATTTTCTTTGTCCAAAAATGAACTTGGGCCAAGATTAGCAATTCCAGAATGCTTTCAAAACATTTACAGTAAGACGGAAGAGTGCCTGTTTATACCAGTGTATGGAGCATTGGAAATCATACCTGTCAAACCCCAAAAAATTCCAAAAAGCTCATCCCTGACCTTTGCCCTTAACATGTAGTGAGTGCAACCACCCGGCTCCAGACTTTCCATCAAGCGGGACAAAACACATCAGCCAGGTTTGCATTTCTCAAGATGCATGTGTAAAGTCCACAAGTGGGATCAGTACATGGAACCTGTGGAGATCAAAGGAGCAGGAATATTCTCTTTTCCTGAGGGCAGGGGACAGACACTTGGGCACAGCTGCCTCAGCAGTGTGGGACTGATTTCCTGGGCCAAGTTTTGTGCTTTTTTTTTTGTGTCTGCAGTGGAACAAGTGGCTGTGGCTGCTCCTGGGCTCTCCTTTGCCGCGCCTCCCCAGCTGCTCCAGGCCGGAGGGCTCCTTGTGGCACAGGCATCCCCTTCCCGAGGGACTCCTGCAGTTCCATGGCCCCTGGGAGCTCGTGCTGTGCTGCACACCTGGCAGGTGGCTCTTGGTTCAGTGTCCTTGAAGCTTGTGTGCCCCAGGCTGTGTCACTGCCTGGGTGCTGTAGTGCTCCGGTACCGCTCCGTGGGCTCGGTGCCACCGTGGCTCCCCCGCGGGCTCACTGCGAGGCCACCACCTGCTGCAGGCTCCCTCCGTGCTGCAAAGCGCCCATGGGGAGCGCGGCCGGCGGAGGCGGCGCTGCGAATAGAGAACCGGGCATTTCCGAGTGAGTCTGTGCGTCAGGGACTGGCATCGGGCTCACGGAGCCAGAGTCACTCTGCAGAGAGCCCAGGCTGCTGCCATCAAAGTGAGTCATTTTCTTCTTCATTAATTTTCTCTCTTTGGCTCTGCGATTCTGGAACCAGATTTTCACCTGCAGAGGAGCAGAGGAAAATTGTTTTCAGTTGCTACCAGACTGAATGTGGTCCTTTGTGTATTTAGTCACAGAATCATAGGGAAAATCAGTGGCATGAGCACCACTGAGAAAGGCAGTGACAAACTTAGACAACAGAGCTGTTTGCTTGTTTTTCCTATCCACCAATAAAATATTTATTGATAGCTTGATAAAAAGTGAATTTTGTTGTTAGTTCAGTTATTTCTTTATGGAATGAGCTTTGATTTATTACATTTTTTAAAACAAAATCTAACAGAAAATCTAACACAGAATCTCATGTGTCCTAATGTTTGCCAAAATTATGCAAAAGTGCTGCTACACTGAAAACTGTATGCCCTAGTCAGGGCAAGCCAAGATCTGCTACTAGCCTATAAACTGAGGCACAAAAGTTTTCCTGATTGGATGGTGCATGTTAATTAGTGAGTTCCAGTATGGGAGTCAGTGGAAATTCACTTCTGAGAAGAATTTCACCAGCAATACACAACATTAATTCAAAATATTGTCTTAGGAGTGCCTGAATAGCTGAGTGATTTCTACTTCATTTGTAGATGGAGCCAGAATCTGCTGCTGCTTCCCACACAATCCAGTGCCACCAGTGTCCTTGCCCTGTCACAGGCACACAGCCACCTTTGGGAAGGAATGAAGGACCTGCTGAAGGAGGATCTTGATTGGGATGGGACAAGTGAGGACGTGAGCTGAAGGTGAGTAATGGTCCACTGAAAATACTGCAGAACTTGTTGAGGTGTGAAATGTTCTGTGGTAACTGGACTGGCTTTGGATGTGAATCCCCAGGGTTGGATTGAAAGCTGTGCACACAAGCTGTTTACCCTTGGAAGTTGCTCTGAATCATGTCTACTCAGTGTAATAAGTCAAGCTACCTCATTCAGGTTTGTTGTGTTTTCTTGTGCAGACAGCAAAGGAAACATTTCTGTCACCGTTTTCTATAACTCAAAGAGAAAAAAAAATCAATATTTTGCTGAGAAATATTGGTCTGTTCAATTATTTTTTGCTAGAAACTAGAAAGGGAAAGAGAGCAATGATTGGAAAGGAGGTAAAACAGTGAGAGGTGATAACACCTGTGGCTACCAGGCTGCATTTTAAAAGAAGATCACTGGTGAAGCCCAACAAAACATCTTAAGGACCCTCTGTGACAGTCTCAGGGTGCTTCTCCTTGAGGCGTTACTGTTCCATTTTACAGCTGAATGATTCAAATACATGCAAAGCCTATGTAAATTTAATCCAGGTCTCTTAAGTCCCAGGCTGCCATCTGAGATGTTTGGCAGTTCCTTTTGTTGTCTTAGTTCTGGAATATAATTTCAGTAGCAAATTGTGTTCTATTAAACCAGTCTCAAGCCTTCTCAGATCTCTTGCATTCTGACTGTGCAGAGATAATCCGTCTCGTAATTTCTCTCAAACATTTGCCAAAATGTATGAAAAGATGAAACAATCTAGAAACTAAAGCAACATTCCAGAATTACCCTCTGGCTTCAATGTTCTTACCTGCCTGTGAATTGAGGTTTTTATTCTGGTTTGTTGTTAAATTAGGGAAGCAGATCTGCAGAGAGAAATTAGTAGGCAGTGCAGGGTCATGTGCCAATTATCAAATAAGTCCTAGTAAGAACAGGTCTGTAATGTCAGACCAAAAGCTGACAGGGCCAGCTGCATCTGTCTGACTTGTTCTTCACCTGTTGCCCTCCTTCCTTTCAATTCTTTTTTCCATGCACATCTCTCTTCCCCTGAAGTCTGATTTTCTCTCTTCTTTCTCATCCTCATAATCTCCTTTATTCCTGTATCCTTTCTATGTTAACAGTGCTTCACTTTGCCTCTTTTTCTTTAATTAAATATTGCATCTTTCCTTCCTTGTTTAAACAATTTTTCTTCATCCTTTTGAGATACTCCTTCCAGGGAATTTTGGATTTTGGCAGAGGCAAGAAAAAAGTTTTTCTAGAAAATCAATTGAGGTTTTAGGTAGCGTTCAGAGAAACTTGAGATAGAACAATGTGTGTTCAGTTGTGCTCATATGATGGAGTTTTTTAATTTGTACAAAAGAGTGGTGTTGGGAGTCTGTCAGTATTTATCACTTAATCTTCCATTAAAAAAAAAACACTTCAGAGATGTAGGTTGTATGAACTGTAATTCATTTTGTTCTTGATATATTGATGATGAAGAAGAACAAATATTGCAAAAGCTGTTGCCAAGTTTCTCCAATATATACAAAGAAATGGATCACATATTTTTGTTTCACCTCTTCAAATACACTCACAAAAACATTCGTCAGGAATTACCACTGAGCTAGGAAGTTTCAAGTAAATATCACTGGTTGTTAACAGAAGCAGGGCTGTAATATTCAAATTCATCATAATTAAATCAAATTATGAATGTTTTAACAGCCAGAAAAAAGACACACAGTGTATTTTTTATACCTATCTGAAACAATTTTAATTTTCAACAATTAAATCCAGGCATTCAGCAGCAGATTGAGGAATATTTGCAAAATGGGTGTTTGCTTCTCCATCTCTCTAAGCTCAGCACGTGTTGTGTGAGCCAGGTTCAAGTTGGATGGACAGTGCTACAATGGGTGGGTTCTGGACAATTCCTGCTCAGCAGAGCCCGTAAAACAATAGTGAATCAGACCTAATCACGGGATTGTGTTTTGATTTATCTTCTGGGAACAGAAGTGGAATTTGGAGGGGAGGAAATGGGGCAGGAGAAAGGAGTAGCACGTATGTAGGAAATCTTTAACAAAAGGTACAAGGCAGCCAAGGAAACAAAACCCTTCAAGTGTCCTGACCATACTTGAGCTCATCACTTCCATCTCCGCTATGACCAATTTGGTTATGGAATTCCCACTGAATTCCCAGCAGAACCAGGACTTCTGCTTTAGAAAGTTCAGCATGAAGTTCTCCCTGCTACTGCAGCCCAGAGAGAATTCCAGGCAGGATTTTGGTGATATGGTTTAACTCGTGTTTCTCAGAATGAGAAAAAGATGGTGTGTGCATTTCCTGGGTTATTGCACAGCCCTAGTTTGGGTTCTATTGCAAAGGGAACCCAGTGTGTGGTTACTCGAGTCATTGACATTTCTGTATTCTTTACCATGCAGTTATCTCCTCAGCAGCAGTCATAAATTCAAAGGAAAGTCTGGATGGGTGATCCATACTCTACCTGTCTCTCGGAAAGTCTTAGGTTTGCAGCAAGTTCAGACTTCCTCCTGATTGTAATGTATCTGTTGTAATGAAACTCCTTCTCTAATTCTAATCTCTGATGATCTGTGTAAACCACTCGGTACTTCTCTCTCGTTCTTGTTTTGCCTGTTTTGAAAGAAGAACACATTGCTTCAAGCTAGAATTTTTTCACTTTAGTATCACAAAATATCTGGCTTTACATTTGAAAATATCGGGGGGGGGGGGGGATTTTAGGCCCGATTCTCTATGCACTTACCCAGAGTAACTCCCTTGACTCGGTCTTGATTTACAACACAAGAGGTTCATACCATCAGATACTAGGTTTGCTCCTTAGTAAATAGATAAACTGCTTCTCGTGTTCTTTATCACTCCTGTGTTATCATTTGGGAAAGGGAAGACATTCCTGGTAAGAATAAGGAGCCAGGAAACCTGGGTTGTGTTCCCAGCTCTGCTGCAAGCTTCCTGCCTGGTATTGCACTGCTCTTGTCTCTGTCCCTAGAGCTGACACTCTTACCTGCCTCAGAGAAAATCATGAAGGACATTTTACTGCACAGAAAATACTGAGAGCTTCCAAAAATCCTCATTTCTTGTTGCTAGAAAAATTCCTCCAACATTGTGATTGTTACTGCAATATGGAGGTTGTGTTTTCCCATCAAGTCTGGCACAGTCTGCCCACAACCTGATAACAGCACAGGGAACAGTAACATAGATTTTCAGATGACAGTTCATATAAAAGAGAAAAGGCAAGCAATAATACTTCACAATGGGCAGGGAACTGCAGCATCTGCTGTTTTGGGAGCAGCATTGCTGCCTCCCTTCAGCTGTGGGTGCAGCTGAGTGGAGCAGACACGGCTCAGCAGCATCCAGGGCATTAAAAGGCAATAGCAGATGACAGGAGCCAGGGAGCACAGATGCAAGGAGCTGAAATTTTATGGATTCCATACGGGGTCATTTCTGAGGACAGAATGTGTGGCTGCTCTGAAAGAAAGCTGAGAATGGAAAAGGCTGCTGCTGGCTCCCTTCCTCTCTGGTTTATGATTTAGGGAATCAATATATTGGAGATCAGCACCTGCTTAAAGCCAAAGCCTGAGGTCTTCCCACATTTTAAACAAATTGGATCATTGTCGTGTTAAGACCAGTGTGATTGTCTTTGCTGACCACAATCTTACCGTTTTTTGACATGTATTTTATATAGACATTCCTTCAGATGTGTGTATTTAGCCAGTGATTTGTCTGGAACAGGGAATATGTTTTCAGTATTTTTCTGCTCTGTATTCCATTGTGGTGCTGGAGGTTGAGAAACTGTGCCCTCAGTGGTCACTGCAGCAGAAGAAACCCCTCAGGCTCAGGTTCTCCCAGGTGATGCACAGAACTCAGGTGTTTGTACCTGTACCCACTTGCTGCAGGTGTCGTGTGGCTTTGCACAGCAGCTCCTGTTTGCTTACAGAGCTTTTTCTGACAAGATTATAGAGATGCCTAATTCCTCAGAAAACAGGTGCCACAAGCTCCTAATAATTACACTCTAATAAGAGCAGTTAATTTTGAATGGGGTGAAATAGATTCTCAGGCATGGGGTTGGTAACATTTTAGTGTCTGAGTAGATCTTGATGGCACAGAAGAGTCACCAGCTTTCCCTGGCTGGAGAGAGGAGCTGGAGGGGTAATCTCTCAGTGCTGCCAAAGGCCTATTCCTACCCAGCCCCTCCTTCCCACTCCCCTTCATAGCTCCCAAAGATCAAAATTCAGGGTACAGGACTACAGCAGAATCTTGGGTTAATGTTTTTCGCCCATCTGTGGAGGGAGATGTGATGTTTCTTTGGTTTTTTTTATGGAACGTATTTAAAGTTAGCATTGCCTTCCACTTGCCATGCACACCATATCGGGACACTTTTGCCTTTTCCACTATTTGACAGTCAGGACTTTGCTATTTCTAAGAATTTTTGGCTCACCAACCTGTTGATTGCATTAGAAATTTCTTCAGGTTCTGCTCCTCTGTACTATTTGTATAGATCCCAGAGCCAGAGTAGGTGAGCACTGGAAGTCCTGGGCAGTGCAATGCTGTAAATAAATCCTTTTATAGCCTGGATGGGGATGGTTCCAGTTCACCCTACAAGACAGGGGCTCTCTAGGACTCTCCCAGGCTTGTAGAACCAAGTCTTCATCAGAATTTGGTCCTTCAGCTCCCATGTTCCAACCCTGGGAGAGTATCAATAGTGCCTTTACAATGCTCTGGGCATCATCCAACTCTTCTTAAGGCCATCAGGCTGATTATTTGGAATATTTCAATAGGGAAAATAAGTGTGGGGTTGCTCCTTAGGCTGTGGGTTCTGCTCAATTCTTTGTCTCAAATCTGTTTACAGCATTAAAGTAAGAGTCTCTAAGGAACAGCAGTGATTCAGTTCAGTCCACATAAATACCAGGACATTTGTTTTCCTTCACTGGAAGTGTAAATTGTTTGTTTAACATATGGTAACCTGTGGTGCTTTAATGCCTCACTTGATATTTTTCAACTTTTGATCTCTTTAACTGGTAGTTTGGTTAAGGGTTTTTTTCCTCTTCAAATGAGAATTTGGGGTCATTCTACAGGACAAAATGTTTAACATGTTTCCTTAGTGTCCTTTGTGTTGTTAAGATGGAGTACACAAAAGAGCAACAAGGTGATCTTATCTTGACCTCTATTCTCATTCAGAAGGCACAGACAAATATCAAATGTTCCTCTATTGCCAAAACAAGGTGGTAAACTTCAAGAAAAACCTTCCTGTTTCTGGTTTTAAGTGCTTAAACCCTTATAACCTGAATAGGAGAGAGTTGTGGGTTTTTTTTTTTTTCCTTTTTAAGCTGAAGAAGGAATTAAAAGTACATGGAAAACTGAATTTTCTCCTATAAGATAATTTATTTCTGTATGAGTAGCTCTCAGGTTCTTTTAGTGGAATTGATATTATCTGGATTATTTTTGAAGGAAGATTGGGAGTTTTGACATCTAATTTCTTTCTTAAAGTTAAGAAAATAATTTAGAAAGTAAAAAAAGCAAAAGTAAGGAAATTCTGAGAAATGCTCTGAGAAAAATTCTCTGATATGTCACATAAACCTTGTCTTTAATAATTTGATTTTTTTTCTGTGTAGAGTAATACTGTCTATGAGAGACAAGACACAGTGGGAGCTGAGATGTGCCAGAGTCTTCCAAGAGATACTTTTAGCTCTGGCAGAGCCATGTTTTAGTTTGTTAGGCCTTTACTCTCCTTGATGTCAGTGAGAGTCTTCCTACTGCCTTTGTTGGATGCTGGGCTGGAATTAGTCTGCACATGGCATTTCCTTTCAAAGGCAAAACACACTTTTATTTGCCAGAGTTAACAAACAGCAGCAACAGAGCCCATTCCTAAACAGTTTGGGACTTCAGCTTCTGAATTCCATCTGTTAGAGCAGATCCACTTTACTGTGGTTCTGCAGACTTACTGGTTTTAATTTCAATTGCATTTTATTTCCAGGAGAAATATTACCTGAGTAAAATTTGAGATGGGCCTAATGGATTCACCCCATAGATAGTGGGAGGATGTTCTTCACTTCTCAGGACTTAATGGCAGAATTCAATGATGCAATGATAAAAGTCCTTGTATTAACCCAGTTCTGTATTGGAATCCTGTATATTTTCCTCACTTAGGTGAGTGAAATAGCCAGCATTTGACTTTGTACCATCTTAATTAATCTATCTTTTGCTAATGACAGGTTAAAATTTTTATCAGCAGTACTGTGTCAGCTCTATAGGGAATATGTTCTGGCATGGACAGTTACACCATGGAATTGTGGTTGGAGAGGTTATTGGTGCTTGGATGGAAGAGAAATGAAACAAAAGGGCTTTGAAGCATCTACCTTTGCAGCCTGCCTGCCTTTGTGCTGGGGGAGTGGATTTCCTGGCTTTCATGAGCTGTATAAGATGAGGGAGTTTTTCAAAACCCTCTTTTGCACTAGTGACTACTGAGGAGTACCTTTGGACCAGCAAGAAATCAGATATTTCAGGGCTGGAAATCTTTTAGTGGGATATAGTTTAACAATGCTGCTTCATCACACCCACTCTGGGCAATTTTTGTGACTGGCCAAGTTTTGAGCTGGGGGAAGGGAACGGCTTTCCCATTGGTCATAAAATTCACAGAGTATTTCTTCTGAAGACAATAAAGCTGGGAGAAGGCCTCTTTATTTGCTGTGAAAATCATCACCCTTTCCGGCAATATAACTCCTGAAGAAAAGAGGGAGAAGGAAGAGACAAGACTGCATATCAAAGCAAAGTGAAGTGTTAAAAGGGTCTGTTGCCTCAATATGACAGATAGGCCTCAAAACCTCAGACAATGTAGGCCAGGAAAGGAAAAAAAAGAACCACCATCGGACCTCACAACTTGTTTACAAAGCAAAATAAATTAGCATTAGAACCAGCGCTAGGCCCTCTTTCAGAGCTTTCTCTCTTAACTTTTCAGGAATACTCTGCAGGCACTGAAACCAGCATCTTCCATAAAATCAGAAGCTGCATGAAGATGTCCTAGGATAGGATAGTGTGGGATTACTGTGGGATTGCTGACAAAGCATTGCAACCTGGATTCCAGGCTTCAGCAGTGTTTCAGAGGAAGTTATGTCTGTCCTTGGTGCCTAGATGTTACCTTAAATCATCCCAGAAATGTGAAACAGCTTCTGGCCTGAGGATATGCTCAGTTCCCACCTGCATCTCTCTGTTATTTAGTACTAAAAAACAGATGTTAATTTTTGAGTTTATAAAGATATAGGCTGACAGAGATCGGGCCTCAGAGTTTTGTTTAGGACTCTAACTACTTATGTACTTTGAAAATGTTGGAAAAGTAAGAGGCAAATTCTCTCTGACTTAAGTCAGTAATTTAATTGAATTAATTTAAATTGTGAAGCAAAAGTAATTTTTAATAAGTTTTGAAGACAAACATTGTGCTACACATGATTTCTGTAAAGCTAAATTAAAAAAAAAAAAAACAAACCACCAGCCACTGTATTAGAACATGTGACATAGATCCAATCTTATATAATATGCCTGTCAGAAGTCTTGGTGTGATAAGTAGGTGTCCTGGTCCTGTGCATTACTGCAAAGTTAGGTGCTAAAATTTTGGGAAACTCGATATAATTCTGTTTTTGTATTTTCTGCTATGTCTTGCTCATCTGATCTTTTATACATGCTCAGATTGTTCATGCTTGAAAAACCAGAACAGAATCAGAATTGAAAGCTTTCAACAGACTTGAATTTTCCCTTCTGTTTTCAATTTTGAATATGTTCTGCTATTCTGGAATAAAGCTGGAATAAATAATTGGCCAAATTCTGTTCTTCCCTTTGCTAGTGTAAACTTTTCTATTTATCTTCATCTATAGAAGGAATTGGATCCAAAGCAGAGTAATTTTTATTCTCTTTAAGCAATGACTGGACAGGCAGATGCACTCAACCTGCAGAAAATGCCAGTGGATTTCTGAGTGGCAAACCAGGGGAAATCCCATTGCCAATGACTGTACAGACTAAAAGGAAAGTGATTAGCTGAGATTTTTCCCAAGTGTAGTATGTTCTTTAGCATTCATCATTTTACAGGAAAGGCTTCTAAAGAGGCTTGTTCCTCTTCCTTCCATTTGAGAGAATATAACTCCTTCCTTCAAAGACTAAGTGCGATATATTTACAGTGCCTTTAGTCATGATGCTCTCAGTTCTCCTGTCACCAGCAGCAGAAAACTGTCTTTTGTGTCTGCAGAGTAAATTTTTATTGAAGAAGAATGATAGGAGACTTGTCATCTACAGGGAAAATCTTTCATCTGAATTAGTTCACCTGTTTCAAAAAGTGTCCCCACCCTGTTTTATGGTAACATAACTGCAGATCTTAAGTTGCTCTTTCAGCTTTGTGAGCAAATTCTCCTGGGAGTTCCCTGCTTAAACTCAGTGTTTTGGGCACACTCTTACCACAGGTGTGTGTTGTTTTCTCACACAGTCATAAAGTCAAGTCTACTCCTGTGTGAGCGATGACACAGCTCCATAAAAATCCTGAAATCAACAGGACGAGATTTGTAGCTAAGGTGGTTTTATTCTACTTTCCATCAAAGAATTTGCCTGTAATTATGTCTTGTCTGTGTGTGTGGAATTACTACCCCACATTTCTATCTGTGGCTTTGTTCTGTTCTGTGTTACAATTGCTCCTTGTCCTGGCTGTGCTCACCCTCTCCAAGGAGAGGTTGAGGAGACAGCAACAGTGTAAGGGTTGGAGTAGAGTCTTTTCTCTCAGTGTTTGTGGCTGAAAATCCTGAGTACTGAGTGCTTCCCCTTCAAGTTCTGAGTCAAAACACATTGGCTTTTTCCTGTATCCTCAACATGCTAAGGAGTGCAGAGATAGGGCACTGGATTCTACGGGCTCTGTGTTGAGGATCCAATCCCTGCAGTGCTAAGGCAGGGACAGACACTCAGCTATCCTTCAGTCAGAGAAAGAAGGATGCATGAAAGTCTCAGCAGGACTTTTCTGCAGGAAATGTGTTCTGATAGTATTAAATCAGGATGATAATCTCACATGAAATAATGAGATCTTCTGGAGGTTTCAGGTAACCTCATAAATTTCACTTTATATCAGTTGAACACATGGTTCTACATTGATGTTGTTTTTAAAGTTACAGAGTAAAACTTGAAATAATTTGTTCCTTTGTTTCAGATTAGTTGTGTAGATAACAGTATCAAAAGACCTGGAGGGCACGAGGCAATAGTAGAAATTGAAATAAAGTGTTTTGTTTATCATCTGTCAGGACATGAGGCTGCAAAGCACCAGTAACTATGAAATCTTTGGAGATGGGAATGCCATGGACTCAGGGCCTTGTTTCTGTAGCTGCTCCAAGTCAGACTATTGAAAGTGAACCTTTGGCAAGAATCTCTCCCAGTCTTGAAGGGATAAGATTACAGGAACGTTTCTTGCACACTTCTGAAAATATCTTGCAAAAATTACTTGCTTTAATAATGATTGTTTTCACAGTGAAATATTATCGGTAGCATTGATAATTAGTGCTTTGCAGAATGTAATGAATAAATAGCAAAATTAATTTGTCTAAATGATTACTGTTGTGATCACCTCAGATAAGTCTGAGCCTCCTTTTTTCATCATTAAGAGCAGTGGTCTGTATCTATTCACAGGGAATAAGGAAAACTAATCAATAATAAGTGTGATTCCTTCATTCTTGCAACACCAGACCTTTGCTGAAATTCCCAAAGGTTTTGTAAAGAGACAGAAGGATAATGTTCAATGAACACAGACAGCTTTAAGGATGTAAAAAGAATTGGATTCCATCTAAGAAAATTATGAGGGGTTTGATCATGATCCAGCAAGCAACATTTGCAGTGAGCCTGGTCACACACCTGAAATCACTGCAACACCTGCATGTACAGAGCCAAACTCACTCAGGTGCTTTCCTAGAGCTGACACTGCTGCAAGGCAAAATATTTTAAAGTTATTTCATTTCTTGGGAAACCGTGAAGGACAACAGTGCCCTTGATTTTAAACAGAAAAAGACAGAGATAAAGGAGTGAAGGGAGAGAAAGGAACCAACTCCAGTGAAGCAGATCTGCTGGCACTGAGCCTACCTGGCCTAGCAGAAAAACTAATATATATATATATATATATAAGAGGGAAAGAAGCAGCAGGAGAATTCCTTCTCTGGACTTTTTCCCTAAAGCAGCACTCAGTAGCTTTTAAATGTAGCCTTCCACTGGCCCACGGGCATTTGGGAGGGTCTGTTCCTATGGCCTGCTGATTTCTCCCATTCTGGACACAGACATACTCAATATCTTTTTAGACTACTCCAGAAAGGAGACACTCCCAGCTCTCCTGTGAATGCTCTGACCTTTGCAGACTTGAAATTTGGAAAGTTAGAAATCTCTAAGTTCTTCTTGAGCAGCAGTTAGAATGTGATATTTATACTATGTGGATATATATCTATCTCTATATGAGTGTTTGTTGTATTCATCTATCCCAGTGTCCCACTGTGAAAGGGACAGCACACAACAAATAAGATCTGCTCCATTGGTGTGACTGGAATCCACAGGAGCACAAAGCAGGTAAGGGAGGGATGAGGAGAAGTGGGTTTTTTTGAGCAAGGGTTCTGCCACCTGTAAATCCCACAAGTAGTGAGCAATTTTGTTGCCCTTGTAAGGACTCCTCAAAAGTAAGCTACAAGATTTTTCAAAACAGGCCCTCTTTTGTTTTTTCTTGGATAATATTCAGTGAAGAACAAATATGATTTTAAAAACACAAATTTTTTATCCCCCCAAATTCTTATTCACACAGAGCAACAGCATGTTCTGATTGTTCTGTTGAATTCTGTGGACTCTCCATGAACTAAAGTTGTGTTAAGCAGGAGTGAGGAGGACTCTGCCCATACAAATCAGATGCATTATTTTAATACAGACAACTTCTCTATGCAGTTGCTTTCAATTCTCTAATGTCTGGTTTAAATAATTGCTATTCCACGAGAGATTGATTCAGTCCCTGCTTTGAAGACTTTTATTTACAGGCAGGTGTGGAGGGAGGGAGGGAAGGGAAGGAACCTTCCTGGGATGCAGCACTGAAATACTGGGAGCAACTCTTTAGGGAAGGAATTGAGCATCCCTAATTTTTACTGATCTCAGTGCATGTCAAAGCTGCTCAGCACCTCAGAGGATCAAAACTTTCATACAGCAGATTATTACTCTGTTCTTTTCAGGCAGTTTTCCCTCTTTTTTTTTTCCCCTTTCTTGCTTAATACTTTTTTTATATACAGGGCACAGATTTTTGTTTTAGGGATGCTCAATGTTTATATTTTTCTCTTGTTCCTCCTCCCAATGAAACAGAACCTTTCTTTCAAGCTTCATAGCTTATTTTTGCCGTTTAAATACAATTGAGTTATTGTTTTGTACTCCTTGACTGTCATGCAGCAAAGCCTAATCTGTGGCTATATTACCAGGCTGTGTTACCATGGATCTTTGTATTTCTGCATATTCTGAGAACTGCTACTACAAAGTGAGGCAAGCCTTTTCTTATCATCCCTGTTTTTGAAGCATTGACTCATTGTTTGATCCTGCAGATCTCATTTCAGTGTTCTGAGATTTGGAGGGGTTGTTTCTGGTAGAAAGCCTTACTGCCAACCCCCTACTGTGCATATTTTACTTGAAGTTTTCCTAGGTACTCCAAAACTTGAGGGAAGTAAGCAAAGAATAGGTGATGGTGAATAAAATTTTTCTTTCCAACTTTCATCCCAATCTAGAGAACTCATATTAAAAGCAACTATTGGATATCACAAACTTTAAAAACATATCTGAAGTGAGAAATGAAAGGACATTGTTTTCATTTCCCAAAGGACTAAGGGTCAAGCAAGAAACACAAGAAATAATAACTGACCAAACCTAGCATCCAGTAATTGAACCAATATTTAAGTGCTAGCAAGAGAATCCTTCAGAGCAATCAGGATCTTTATTAATCTCAGTCCTTCCCTCTGAACGGGAAACCTGGCAAAACCCCCACAATGACACAACAACAAGTAAAAACCTCTTCTCAGCATAAAACCTCCGCGCCCTCCTACCTGTGGAAGTGGATTGCACCGTTTTCCTCATCCACTCATAAGAGCTGTGCCTTTGGCTGTTGGGAGAGATTTGCTGGGCATTAATTGTATCTACAGGAGGTAACCCCGCAGCAGCAGCGGGGTGCAGGGTGCTGTAATCAGCAGAGCTGTAGGAGCCCTGGCCAGGGGACGAGCCATTGATGTGGGCAGCGGGCACGGCGCTGGAAGGGCCTGGGCCGTAGGCGCTCCAGTCCTCGCGCTGGGGGCCGTAGTGGGAGCCCCAGGCTGGCGCCGGCTGCCCGTGGGTGTCCAGGGCTGGCACAGGGTGGTATCCCATGTAGTCGGAGTAGGCTGGAGCAGACACGAAGTTTTGCACGGGCAGGTTGTTGCTGGTGCACCTTGCGGATCCCGGATACATGCTGGTGTCTTTATCCAACAGATAGCTCACGTACATGATGCTCACAGCCTGCCTTTGTCTTGCTGGGACATCCTGCTCCTCGCAGGGTTTGTTTGATCTCCCTTCCCCTCCTCTTTCTTTCTCTCTTTTCTAGCCCAGCCTGGCTCTATAAATGACTCCTGCTAGCCCTGATGTCCCTTTACTACACATGATTAACAATGGTTTTACCAGGTGCTGGTGGTAACAGTTTACTAAGGTCCTGCCTGATGTCACAGATAACTGCCTGCCCCAAAATTACATTTGCATTCAAATGAAGGGCTGCCCATGCAGGCAACCCCACCTTGCTGCTAGTTCCAGTGCTTCCTTTCTCACAGATCTTTATGTATTGCCAGCCCCGTTCTTTACTTTGAGAATGTGGTTTGAAATCTCGTGGTCTTCCAGCAGAGCTGAGTACGTAGTTAACCATAACTGTTCAGACAGTAGAAGTTGTATTTTTCTTGAGTAGTGCATGTCAGGATCTCACTTCAGGCACTCGGTTAGAGTTAGTCAAAACTTGGTGTCTGCTGGTCCAGTAGTAGTTCTGCTTCAATGTGCTCTATTTTTTTAAGCTAAAACCAAAGGAGCAGTTCAGTGTTTAACAGCAGCTCTTACAGAGCTCCTCACACGAGCACTCTTCTTGACTTCAGCTCTTCATCTGTGTGGGAGGGCACTCAGAAACCACAGTAATCCTGGTGATTTTACCATTACAAAGGATATACAAGAAGTCTCATAGTCATTTTGAGCATTTGTTCATACGAATAGTCTTGTTGATGTTAGCAAGCTATTCATGAGCTGGCTGCTTGCCACGGTGATTGAAGTTCCTCTATTCTAACCTCCAACGTTCACAGAAAGGGAATCTGTTATTGAGAGAATGCAGAATTTGTCACTTTCCCTGTGCTTATGTCTTGGTTGTGATATTGAAATGAGTGATAGTTTTCCCTGAAGGTTTTTTTTTTGTTCTTGTTGCTGCACTTCTTCACAATAAGTAACACCTTTTCTTGGAAATATGGGAACAAAGTATAACTTCTTAACTCAGGAAAGCAGTTTCCTAACTTTCAGGAGCAATCTTATGTTTGTGAGTAACAAATCCCTAGGAGATCATCTGTAACCAGGAGCAAGGAGAGAAAGTGTGGATTTCTTTTTTTTGTCTCTTAATGGGAGTTCACCCTATTTTCATTCCCATTCCCTTAATGATGTGATACTTAATTGCACCTTTATTAATGATTAGACTTGTTAAAAGGAGTTTTTCCTTAAACAGGTGCAAAGAATAATGAGTTTTTTCTTTGTTCAGAGGTGTATTTTTTCTCTGAGTCTTTTGCACTTTAACACCATTTAAACTTCCAGGTTCTCGGGAGGAAGGACTCACTTTGCACACCTGACAACACCGTTGTTTCCGGTAGTGAGAGAATGGTGTCCTTAGGCTGAACTCACAATTTGCCTTGGGGACAGAGTTGTGGAAAAAGCTTTTTTGACTCATAATCTCAGAAGCACAGCTACCTGCTCAGAGTATTTCAGATTCTTCCACTGTGCACTTGGGTAAAATTTGTTCTCTTTTGCTTGTTTGATTGTTTTGGAGCTGATATTTTGCCAATGTAATTGCTGAAAGGTATTTTAAAAATCATTAGGTGGCGGGAAGTTGCCAGAAGCTGTTTCTGCTGCTTGCATATGTGAGCTTACTTGGTTGCAATTTGCACATCTGTGACAGCTGGCCACTCAAAATTACCCAGCAGAGCTGCTGGGAAGGACTTCTCAAATCCAGGGAAGTCAGTGATCGGTGAGTCATGGATCTGAACTGCTTCATTCTGCTGAGCAGCAAAATAAATCACAGTTGTCCAGTTTAGAATTAAGTGTCTCCAAATAGCCTGTCTGCAGTTAAAGTGTGATTTTAATGTAGTGGGATCTTCCTATTTTTTAACTTGAGTGTTTTTCTCCCTTCTGTGGTTGCTTAGTAGCTCTTGAGTGTTGAAATAGTTACAAAGAAAGATTTTTTTTAACATCTTTTTGTTGTAATTTAATTTAATTTCTTTTCTTCCTCTTCAAAACTGTTGAAGCCTACATCCTTGTAGGCATTTCAGAGCCTCTCCTGAGTGCAGGTGTAGCAATAAATCAGCCAGAGGAAGAGGCAGCATTTGCTCCTTTACTGGAGCCCTGCAGCTGTCTGAAAAATGTTCTAATTATGTTAATTCAAGGAAACTTTTCCTGCAGGCTTTATGTACCTGATAGACCCAAGCACAGAGCTCTGCAGAAGGGCTGAGTTGGATCTGCCCTTGTTCAGTGTTCAGGAATGTTGGATACACCAGGCTCCAGTCATGGATTCATTCTCTCCCACTGCAGCATTGTTCCATGAGGAGCATTATGGTCTGTATTTCACAATGGTTCAATTTGTCTCATGGAGCTACTGAAAGCAGTACAATGGTGATTAGTCCTGTGTATTAGAAAAATCACATAAAATTCCTTTTGAAGCTTTCAGTAATACTGTATATACTGATATGGAAGGAGATTTTTCCTTTTCCATACTGCCTAAAGAAAGGGCTTTACAATCTCGGATGGTTGAACTGACAATGCTTTTGCTGCTCTGGCCTCATGCTGTGCCCACAAAGCAGGAAACAATTTCCTTTGGATTCCTGAGTACCCTAAGTTGGTCTGGCTTCAGCAAGCTGTACTTTAGCTTTGTTTAGTCCAAGCTTTTATAATTTTTATAATTTCCATCATATCTATTAGTTAAACCAGTCATTCGACTGTAATTGCTGGAGCTATGTGAATAATCACATATTAATATAGTTAATTTAAAATGAAATATTCTCAAAAGTTCTCAAATGCAATGTGAATGGAAATGAGAAATCACCCCCTTCTCAAGAGGGAAAAGAACTTTATTGAGATGCTCCCAAAATACCTTCACCCTTGGGCCTCTCTAAGATGCATTTTTCTAGTTCTAAATTTGAATAGCTTCCATCCTCTGAAGCTGGGAGTTGGTGTCCACCAGAGATCCTGGATGGGAAAACATCTCTGAAGGAGTCTTTATCAGGTGATGATGATGTGGGCAGAGACCAAGCAGCAACACTGGGCTCCTCCAGTCCACTTTGATTATTTCTCTTCTGCCACATGAGTCTCCAGAGCTCTCCTTTGTTGTGTCCCAAAGCCATGGATCTGCTAAGGCCCCATCCTTGTGTTACCAAGCTCATCTCTCTCACATTTTAACCACATCCCTGTCCTGGGATGCAGACCTTCTCCTACACATCCCATCTCCTTATCTAAGGACTGACAGAGCTCCAGTAGCTCTGTTTTATTTTTCTGAGCTTTTTTTTTTTTTCTTTTTGGTCTCCAAAGAGTAGCAGCACCCATTTTTGGAGGCATGTTCTGGTTCCAAGCCTGATCTCTGACTCCAGTGAAGCAATGGGGACAGCTGCTGGTCAGCTGCCTGCATGGCAAGGAGACCTTTCCGGACTTGCAGGGCTCATGACCTTATTCAGATTTCAAAGTTCTCAGCCTGCTCAGTTCTGTTTGGATCAGGACTCGTGTCTGTCACATATCCAGCTGCAGGAAGCAGCAAAGCTCCTGAAGAATCCTGGCTTGAAATTCTGGATATGTTGCAGGGATTTTTGCTCTGCTGTTTGATTAATGGTAACATCTCTCCTTTGAAACCTGAAGTGGACTATTATAGAACGTGCCAGGTTTTTAAAAATTAATTTTTACAAGGAGTTTTCTGGGCTACAAAGGTCTGAAAGGTGCTGCAATACAGAGTGGGACTGCTGAGCAGTGACAGAGCTGGGGTGTGAACAGACAGGGCTTGAACAGTCCTGCCATCCAACGTGGCACCGAGCCACAGGGCTGGAATGTCACATCCACTGCACACCAGGGAATGGTCTCAGGAGGTGATGGCAGTGAGGAGCCAAGAGCAGGACTGTGAGATTTTAATCTTGTATTCTCTAAAGAGTAGCTGTGCTTCAAATGTATCATCTTTGTTAATCGGTGCTCTTAAAATAAGTTAATCAGTGCTCTTAAAATAATGCCCTCATCTTCCAGCTAACATGTTGACACAAGTGTAGCCTTTAAGAAGGCTACAGTAAACAGCTGTCTCACCAGAACTCTGATAATACTCCTAGTTCTGAAAAAAAGAATCTCCTTTCCTCACTGTTGTTCTCTGTGCTTTGAATTTTAACACCTTGCAATGCACTGGATCTCCTTGGGCTGTGTGAGTCACGGCCCTGCTGCAATGGGATTGGAAGTGGTGACATTGTGGCACCCTTAACCCGATAATTCACTGCTCCATAACCTTCCCAGAAGTGCAAACAGATCACAGCCTCTGTCCAGTGCCTGCTGCCTCACCTGCCCCACTGCTGCCCACAGGAACAGGAGAAAAACCCATCCACAAAGAGCTCCCTTTGGTCACTTCACACCTGGTGCACAACACAAGGTTCCAGCCCCAGGCTGGGGGGAATTCCTGCTCAGCTCAGCGAGCAGCTGAGTTCAGCAAAATGGGATCCAGCATTCCCATCTGTGGGGTTTTGTGTTGTGTGTGTGGTTAACACTTCTCTGCTGCTGGAAACCCTTCCTTGAAATTTAAAAGGAAACTGTGTTATATTTTAATATTAGGGCTACTAAATCCTGTCTGGGGAAATTCTTTACCTTAGGTGATGCTTTTGAAAGCTCTGTGAACACATGGCTCTAGGAACACATTCTGGATTTGGGCACTTGGGTGCTGAGCACAGACTGTATGTGGAATTTTTTCATCGAATTCTTAATGAACATCAAGATTTTTTTTTTTTTTTTTTTTTTTTGGGAGTGTGTTTCCCTCCCCCCCCTTTAGTATGGAATATATACCTGGAAACGAGAATATCTCAGCATAGGTGAGGGATCGACAAGTATATTTTCCTACAGCAGTGTAGTCACTCCTGAATGAAAGTCACAGCAGTGGCCTCTTCGAAGTGACAATTCCCACTAGGTGGCACTTTGAATCCATGGCACGGGCAGAACCCCGTCTGATGGAGTACCTGTGAGCTGCCACTCGGGTTTGTACTTAGTGATTGACCAAGCTAAAAAAGGATCAATGTAGTGCTGCCTGCAGCAAGTTTCACAGCTCCGTTTAATACCAACATTGATTAAATCCCCACCCCCAACTCCGTGTGAAAGAGCATTAGCACAGAAATTATCCCCTCTCCGAATC